TGTAAAAATTTTAGACAGACTTACCTTGGCAAACAGGAAATTGTATCTAGATGAGTTTAATGTTTAATAAAGATCACAAAATTTAAATTTATAACGTTAAGTTTAATTTAATTCATTACTCTTTGATCATTAGCAATAGTTATTTACATATTCACTGAATAGTCTTCAGTCGCTGAATTTCAGTGATTGTTGTTACCATAGCAACACACATGTTTGTCATGTGACACAAAAATATTGAGAAGTTATGCCAAAGAGAAACACATTAATGTCGTAATTGCTATACGACTATGTTAATTACTTTTGGTGTTTTAATTATATTTGATGTTTAGTAGAAAAATAAAACCGTTTTTTCATCCTTTCATTCGCTTTTCGCTAAATCAGTCAAGCAAATGCTCATCTTTAAAGGCTGCTACTTCATCAATAGATGACAGTATTTCTAAAATTAGAAATGTTGGTTTCATCGCTCATATCGATGCTGGCAAGACGACGACCACTGAAAGGCTCCTCTACTATTCAGGACGTAGTTCATCTATGGGTGAAGTTCATCAAGGTGACACTGTGACAGATTACATGGTACAAGAACGAGAACGCGGTATTACCATTACCTCTGCATCTACGACTTTCTTATGGAAAAAACATAAAGTTAATTTACTCGATACTCCTGGTCATGTTGATTTTATTATTGAGGTTGAAAGGTGTTTAAATGTTTTAGATTCAGCAATTGGTGAGTTAAATTTAATATCAAATGTTTTTGTTCATTAATAACGTTTCTCTTTGTACTTTATTACAGTTATTCTTGATTCGGCAAGTGGAGTTGAAGCTCAAACAACAACTGTCTGGCAACAAGCTAACCGGTACAATTTACCAAGAATAATCTACGCTAATAAAATGGATAGACCAAATGCTAATTTAAATATGTGTTTAGAGTCTTTATCTAAATTAAATGCCAACCCTGTTCTCGTTCATTTACCTTTTTACGTCGAAAAACGTTTCACCGGATTAATCGATTTACCGACTCTTTCGTTATATTCCTGGGCCAATTCCAGTTCCAACGATGATGGCAGCAACTTTTCGGTTGAACAATTAACCAAAGATCACCCATCTTGGCACGAGAGCTTGCAAGCTAGAGAAAAGTTGATCGAGATTTTATCGGATTGTGACAATGACAATGAACAACTCAGTGAATCTGTGATCACAGCGAGTATTAGTCAAATTCCATCTTCTATAATAATTAATTCAATTAGAAGATCTGTCTTAAGAAATAGACTGAATCCAGTTCTGCTTGGAAGTTCTTACAAAAAGATTGGTGTCCAACCTCTATTAGATGCTTTCTTACGATACCTCCCATCGCCAGTCGAAAGACCCAATGCACTTTCGAAGTATTATGCAGACAATTTTTGTGCCTCTGCTTTCAAAGTTATTCATCATGAAAATTTTGGTCCTTTGACGTTTCTGCGTCTCTACTCAGGAAGCTTAACTTATCCAACCAAGGTTTACAACATTAACCGAAATATTTCTGAGAAAATAACGAGAATTTTCATACCATTCGCTGACCAATTCAAAGAGACCCAAACTGCTAAATTTGGTGATATCGTTGCAGTTTCAGGTTTGAGTAAAACTGTCACAGGTGATACATTAACCATATCTGAAAAGATTGCTGATCAGGTACTTTATTATTATTATCATCATTAAACTTTTAAGCTTATTGTATTTGTTTTTTGCAGGCAAGAAAAAGCTATGCACAAGATAACTCACTTCAATTGGATGAATGTAAACCTGTTTTCGCTGGAATCCAAATTCCTGATCCAGTTTTTTTCTGCACAATTGAAGCACCTTCTAGGTCGAAGCAAAAAGATTTAGATAAGGCCTTAGAAAATCTTACCCGAGAAGATCCATCTTTAACTGTTACGAATGATACAAATTCTGGTCAAACCATTTTAAGTGGAATGGGCGAGCTTCATCTCGAGGTTAGCATAAGATATCAATGTCATTGATTTGCAAGCTTTAACCAATTTTTAATTTCTACAGATTGTTAAAGATAGGATTCTCCGAGAATACAAAGTTGACGCGGAATTGGGTCCATTGCGAATATCTTATCGTGAGACTCCGTTAACATCATCCGAGGAGACTAAATCGGTGAATAAAGCATTTGGCGGAGTTAATAATTTTGTCTCAATGAAACTTGGAATACACCCATCATCTAGAAGTGATTCAAAATTTAACCTAAAAGTCGTTGTTACTCAGGATAATGATTTAGGAAAGTTGCGAACAGACAGATTAAAAGCTATTGAGAATGGCATTGAAATGGGTTTATCTTTTGGGCCATTGTGCAGTTTTCCCGTGATTGGTGTAGACGTTGAATTATTGGAATTTAGATGTTCACGAGCAACTCTGCAATCTTTCGTCAGTTCAGTTGCTTCTGAAACAATTCTTGCTGCGTTATCCAAAGCTTCAATGGCTTTATTAGAGCCTATTATGCTTCTTGAAATAACCTTGCCCAACAAATATTATGGTAAAGTTTTATCTGATATCTCAAATCGACGTGGTCAGTTGCTCAATGAAATCAATCGCACAGGTGATTATCGAACCATTGAAGCGTTGACTCCTTTGTCGGAACTCTACTCTTATTCATCTTATTTACGCACTTTGACTTCAGGAACTGCTATTTTATCGATGAAATTGGATTCATATCAGAAAATGAATTCGAGTCAACAAGAAAAAGTTCTCGAGAAATTAAAAGAAATTTAATTTCTTAAAGTAATATCCCACCAAATGTGCATTAAACTATCGTTGTAGTATCTATAAATATTTAAATACATTTAATAATTTATTCTAAATCTAATTCGACTTCATATTGTAATTCTAATATTGTATCAAAACCAGATTAAAACTTCATTTTCAAAGATGTATCTGATACAGCATTGTATATTATGTATTAAATAAAGGCTCAATGAATATGACAGTTATTGAAATGTTGTAGATAAATAAGGCAAACATGGCATTTATTCAATGTTTTTAAATACAAAATTGATAAAGATATACTTTTATTAATAATTTCAGATAAAATAATTGCTCAATCTTGTGGAAATGCAATTCAAAAATTGGACGAGTTTAAGAAGATAATGCAAATCAATTAACAAATACGATGAAAATGGAAATGGAAATGGCGTTGAGTATGAAAGTAAATCACAAATGAAATGAATCAATGATAATGCTTCAAAGCTTAATTATACTTTGACTGATTTGTTTCCTTCATTTTTCGTTGATTTTTTTGATTGTCTCTCTTCGCCATTATTTTTGACTCCGAACCTTACACCCAAATTGTTTGTCAAATCTTCAGCAATCCACCAGTTGGTTTGTTTTCTTGTTTTCATCTTAGGTTTAGATCTGGCCTCACTTGGGACATCTTGATCTGAATAAGGTTTACTTCTTACCTCGATATCCTTTCCTCGAGAAACATTGCTTTCTGATTTGCTCATCGTTATTGGTTTTTCGTCTGATTGATCGAATCTTTGATTGTCTCTCATTGAGTTAGATGGGTTACTTTCCTCTTTGCTTGTGTCAGCTTTCAATGGATAGACAAAATCATTTTCATATTCAACACTGGATTCACCGCTATCAACCCTTTTTCTGGGTTTCACTTCATATGAAGAATCAAATTCTTCAAAATTAATATCATTGAGATTAGTTCTCAATCCTGATCCTTGTAGACGAGCTGATTTAGTTTTCCTGTTTGGTACAACATAAAGAAGTGAATTCAATGAATAGAAGCTTCTTGCTTGACTACAGTCAACATTGAAGTACCAATCACAAATGAAATACTTTTGATTGAACAAAGTTCCATTTGGACACAAGAAAGCATCTTCACGACCATCAGGTTGACAAATATAAAAAGCCTAATATAGAGGGAGAAAATAAAATCAATTCTTAAAGTAATGAACTAATATTTCAATGAATTACCTGACAGTATGCTTCTGGATCAGCATAATAACCAGGATAACGTTGAGATGAGCATCGGAAACTGGTTAATGGAGGTGATGAAAAAGATGGAAAATCAATTCCTGGTTGACCAAATGGATTGACATCCCATTGATTTGACAGGTCTGTATAGCTTTTAATCTTTGGACGATTCATTTGATCAATTGAATTGCCTTTTGTTTCATCATAATTTGACGGGAAAGGAGTAGATTCAAATGAATTGTTTGGTGGCTCCTTTTTACCAATTTGTTCATTTATCCGATTATAAGAGTTAAATCGCGGTTCAACCTTTCTAAATATCCCTTGAGAACCACCATTTTCTCTATCATTGGATCTGTTGCTTGACGAATCTTTACCTTTTTGTGGTCGTTTACGAGCTCGTATAATCCTTGGTGACCGAGTCGATGCCATTGGAATCGGAGGGGTTGGAGTGACATCATCAAATTTAACCAATTTATTTGAATAACTGCCGCCAAAGTTACTTCTGTTACCATTGGTATCACCATAAGAGTCACCACTATTCTCATTCAACCAAAGCGGTGATACTGTTGGCGGTGAAGGAATGACCGTAACTGGACCATCGTTATTTGCTCTATCACTGGTAAAATCGTTTGGTGCATCATCGCCATTGTCCACAGCAGCTGCTTTTAAATTTGAATTGTAAACGTTTTCTTTATAATTTTCAATTGGTCCTCCAGTATCGTCTTCATGATCAAATCCAATATCTGCATCATCTCGGATCAAGTTACTCGCTGAAGATATGATATCACCGTGATCATTATAAACGACTTTAGGTAATTGCTTTAATTTACCCTTGCTTTTGTCTAATAACGAGTAATTATGAATCAACTGACTTGAAGACGCAATTTGAGTTTCTCGATCTCTAACTCTAGGCTCAACTCCTCGGTTATTCAATGAAGTCCAGACAGCACTTTCACATAAACAAACTGAATACACAATGAAAAAAGATGATAAATCAATAAGCGATTGCTAGAGGTAAAAAATACGCCAAAACCAAAAATCTCATTCAATTGACTTGTATTCAAATTTTTAATAACAATTAGCATGAAATGTTTTACTGTCTGTAAACAATATAAGCTATAATTTTGTGAGATTTCATTCAAAAAGACGCTTTGAATTGGACAAAAGCGCATTTTGTTGGTCAACCAATTTAATTGTCACCTTCAATTTATCCCAACTAATAAAGATACAATAATTAAGAGGCAGATAATCAAGTAAGGTTTTTTAATTACCACCTTAAGCAAACAGATAATGACAAAAGCCAATTGAATAAACGTTAAAAATTACCAATGATTAAAACAAAAGGCAATTGCAATTAGAGTAACGCCTAAACACCCTTGCATAGTGAAGCTGATGATTAACTGATGATTAACTGATTGGTCAATGTCTTCTTTTGTTGCTTCAATTGAAAAGACTCGTAACAATGAGATTCGTAAGCAAGAATGAATTATGAATGAATTAATAGCTAATACAAAAAAAACACTGATTATTGTCCAGGTTAACAAACGTCTTTTATAACAATTTTGTTGTTATCATTTCAACAATTTAACTTTGAATAACCTTTTCCATCTCATTTTGACCATCTTTTTCATTTGCAAAGTATAACAAGTTAATCAAAGATGATTATTTTAATTTAATTGCGAGGTCAAACATTAATTGTAAACAAACCTTCTTTAATCATGGTTACAGTCAAGAATCACAATTAAAATCTTGTTACACTTTCACTCTTCACTTTGTGAATCATTTACAAAACAAAAAAGCAGTTAATTGATTCAAAACTGTTTAACCTTGAATCACTCCAATCAAACAATCAAATCAATGATTCCAAATCAACTAATCATGAATCAACCTCCAACCTTTAACCAAAAGCTTCAGCAATTTTCACCCAAGTTGACAATTTGAAGATTCACAGTAAATTGTTTCAATAACTGTTAACTTGACATTTCCTGGTTATTTAACCAGTTGAGTACAATTAAGTAATCATCTTTTGAGATATTTAATGTTAAATTTAAATTGCAAGGAAAAGTAAAAAATACAAAATTTGTGACTTTTTGGGTTAACTTAACATTGTAATGGAAATTATCTCAATTTTGTTTTACCTTCATTCAAATTACTATTCAAAGATGATTAACTCAATTGTTATTAGTAATAAAGATTAAACTAGTTGATTAAATTTGAAGGTAAACAAATGAGGCTAACATTGAATTAACTCATCGCACCGATTGAACCAATTTCCCAATGAACAATCAACTCTCCAAATTTACAAAATTAATAACCATTTTTATCGGTTTTTTCAACTTTCCAACTTGATTAAATCGTTAATTTAAATTGTCATTACATTTCTAAATTTAAAAATTAATTTTCTCACTCTTTATTACCTTTTGATTGATTCTAGTTTATAAAATTAACTGATGATGTTTTGATGTAAAATTGAATTGTTAGTCAAAGTAACTTTTGCCAATCTTTTACTGTAATGGTTATTGATTGAATATTTTAACTTCAATTTGGATACATTTTCAATTGAAGCAACCTATTCAATCACAATTAAACGTCAACCAAATTAGTAACACTTGGTGAACAACAATTAGATCAATCTCTAAATTAAGATTCAACTTGAATATGGATTTATCAATGATTAATCATTGATTGTTGATCAGTATTTGGGAAATGTTGAAGAATGGTAAAAATTGTTGCCATTAAAGTGAAATAACATGAAAACCAATGTGAATTTGCAATCATCCAAATCAATGGGAAACAATTGACCAAAATTGTTATTTAATTTGCTTCAATTGATTAACAACAATGAACATTATTTATAAATCCTAACAAGATGATGACAACAATTTGTGGCAACAATTTAACAAATTTTTCTTACCAACATTACGGTTACAGTAAAGATCAAATGGTTGGTTAAACCGTTAAATAGGTAAACAATTTAAGGCCAATTATATGATTGTTTTTCCGGAGAGACAAACAATCAACTCTATTTATCATTTATCCTACATTTTCAATCTCTAACAATATTTAATAGAGATTATTAAATGTTGATCAAAATTGATTGGAATCACAATTTTGACACTTTTCCTGTATCTTCAATGTTGGTGAATGTGTTTAATAGCAACAATTTTTAAGATATTTTTCCAACTTTAATTTCTTGTATTGCTCTCTATGCAAAACTATCAATTTACAATTGTTAATAATCAAATTAAGCTGCTGATGAAGATAAATTTTTCAATTGTTTAATCAATTGGTTAAGATTGGTGAGAAAATATTAACTGGCAATAAATTAAATTACACGATTAAAAATAATGTTTCATGCTGAATGACCTAATAAGTGATATTTTCAGGCTTAACATTATTATTTATCAATTGTAATATATCAATTGCATGTTATTATCATTTTTATTATTAACTATCTGATTCCGGTCAGTTACATGATTCAATCCTATTTCAATGAACTATTGTTTCAATCGTCAGGTCATGCTGGTGATAATGTTGCTTAAGATAATGATGATCAGTATGGTGAAGTTGATTAGTTAAGGTTAGATGACAAAAAAACAAATAACATCACAATGGATTGACCAACTTATCAAATTAGCTAAACAGTTGATCAAATAATATTGTTAAATAATATTGTTAGCTAACAGATTAACCAAGAGACTAAATAATTAGAGGCTAAATTGCTACAATTAGATACAATTTTGGTTTCAGTTTTGCCTTTTCAATTTGCAAAAGCATTGAAAGCTAATTTTTAGGTTTTTATTAGGCTTAGACTTTTAGGTTTTGATTTTTGGGTTTTAACTTTAGGTTTAAGCTTTAGGATTTTGGTTTTGGGTTTTATTGTGAATTTGGTTAGTTGACAATTGACAGGTTTTAATGTTTTGATTAGTAATTTAGTAATTTATATTGGTATGACTTACATGTTGATGCGATAATGACAATGATTTTGAACATGATTGAGTCGATGTTTGTGGTTACCATCAAAATTGTCCAGTTGATTTAATCACTTAGTTAAACTGTAAAACTGTTGATGACAACTGTTACAAACGACGAATCAGTTGGTATTGGCGATGTTAAAAGTGGCCTGAAAAGATGTTTTGGTATTTTATATAAAGTGATTTGACGATGAAAATGTTTGTCGTGAAGGCGGAGTGAACGATTCGAATGAAAAGTATCTTCTCTCTTATTTTTTTCAGGCAAGAAAGGATGAGAAATGCATGGCGGTAGAGATGATGAACAGTGTATGATGAAAAGGATGATAGATGAAGAGGGTGGAGAGAAAGGGAGGAGGAAAATGAAGACAGTATGCGAAAAAATGTATCTCAACATTTGTTTTTTTTCTTATTCATTCCATTGTTGATCAACTGTTCATTAAGTGTTGTGTGACCTTAGTGTTTCAATCTCTAGATCTTTGATTAATAATTAGACAAATTGCTTTGTCTCAACCTTTATCAGAACTTTATTTAATGGCTCACAATTTATTTAATCAAATATTACCTTTATACATATCATGTTAATTGATTTTCCTCCATTGTAATAGTGATTATATTCAATATTTTGTTTACCTTTATTTTGTGTCTTCATTTTTCCCTCTTTAAACTCAATCTTTTTCAACAGTCAAGTTGTTATTGATAATTTTATGCAAATTGAAGACACAATTAAGGATGAATAATTAATAAATGAAATCAAATACAAATTTAAAATTAAATTTTGAATACTTTATTCAAAACAACATAATTTTGAACAAACTCATCCAGGTACAAATTTTAGATTAAGGTTGCGTTAAAGTTCAAGACTGTGTCTGAGGTTGATGTTGAGGATCAGTGACAAGATTGGGTGAAGATGAACGTTGCTGTTGATGGTCACAGTAAAGGTGAACCTGAAGGAATTTGGCGCTTTTAAACACTTGTTTACAAAAATGGCAAGTATTGGAACGTATGGAAGTAATGTTGGTTGTCGATGAAGTTGTCGATACGGAAATCGGTGTTGTGGTGAATGTAGTTGTGGTTACAGATGGGATTGCTGATGTAGTTGAACATGTTGAATAGTATGGCGATGAAACTGGTGGAGATAATGTTGATGGCGGTGATGGTGGGGACGGTGATGAAGATGAGGTATTTACTAGACTATAATTACAATTTTTACTATGGTTATTGTTGACATCATGATTATTGATATTTATACTATTATTGACAATATCTGAACTAGTATTGTTGTTACAATCATTGGCATTGTTATCAACATTCATCTCGCAATTATTTTCAAAGCTATTGTGGTTTACGGTGGTGTTGGATGTAGCAATGGTACTGGTACTGGTACAAGTTACAATGTTGCCATCATGATTTAAATTATTGCTAGCAAGTGAAAGATTACTATTGATTCCTAATGATGATTGTCTTAACCAGGCAAGATTAACCTCTCCATTTTTAGAGTACATTTTTTCAGCCAACTTTTGCAACGATACAAGACTATTTTCACAATCTGCTGTTTCAATTACATTTAAATTTATCCCGAATCGCTCCATATCGGCATACATTCCACAAGGCAGTTTACCGGCACATTCAAGTTTCATAATGTGATTCTTGGACCTCAAGTGTTTGGCCAAGTGACCATGAATCCTAAAGGCAATCACACAATCGTCACATTTAAAAGGTCTTGGGTTTTCCGTTGTCGCTGCTCCAAAGGTTAAATTGATTTTAATCTTATCCGAATGAGATGCAGACTTTTCGTGCTTTTGAAGATGTCCTTTGGTTCTAAATGAAACGCCACATGGATCACATCTAAATGGCCTTTCCAAATAATGAACGTTAACATGAAGACGAAGCTTTGACAAGTCATGGAAAGTTTTGTTGCATTTCCGACAAACTGATTTTCCGTCTTCTCTCGTCAACATTCCAAGTGAAGATCCATTGAAAGAAGCTGCAAGCTCAGCACGAGTAAGATGATGTGGGACTGTAGATGGTGTTGAAAGGGTATTGCGTCGACCGGGTAAAATTTGGTCATATCTAGAAGATGGTCCAGCAATTTGATTATCATTGTCTTCTTGCCTTTTACTCAGGTCAATTGGTCCATCCGAGTTGAGGTATAAAGACTCGTTGCGTCGATCTTGAATAACTGACATTGAATATCTGCGTTGAAAATGATCTTCAACTTCACTATCATTTGAATCATCGGTTGAAATTGACTCAATAATTGGATTTGTGTTATTTGCTTGAGAGTTGATGGGTTCATTTGTAAGGCAAAAGTGATTTGAACTAAGCGGTGTTGGTTTATCAACTCGTCTAAGGTTATCTAAATTGTTTGCCATCGATACATTTCGCCTCATTAAACCATCATTGAATGAAAATGATCTCTGACGAGAAAATGAATTGCCATTCGGAGGCCAATTTGATAGGTTGATATAATTAGCTCCATTAACTGCTGTTGAACACCTTTCATCAGCCAACGAATTGTTTAAAGATAACTTTGATGGCGTCGATTGTGATATCTTGCGCAAATCAGTGACCACATCCATGTGCTGTTTACTTGGACTGGAGGCTGTTCGGTGGTTATCACTAAAGTCTGCCTCTAGGCAATTTGAAGCTACAGTAACACCAGAGGCGGTTGTAATTGTAGCAACTGCAACAGCAGAAGGATTATTAGCAATTGACCATTCTCCTGACCCTGAAAGGACAAGTAGACTACGAGCAACTTCTTGTTCATCAATCTCATTGGCAACAATAATTGACTTTCTGTGTTCCCTTTCTTTCCTTTCCTCGGGTCTTCCATCAATATCCATCTTGTGATGATTAGTAATCACACCTAAAGATAAGCAGAACAAAAAATACGTGTTAATTATAACGATGACAATGGTTGAGATTTTAATTAATTTACCTGAAGATGTTATGATTGGAATAGGAACTCCTTCATCATCAGATCCGTCGTCTTCTTCCTCTTCACAGCCATCTTCATCATCTGGATCATTTTCATCATCATCTGAGGCCAAGTGTTCACCAGAATAGCTTCGTTCAAGAGCCTCTTGTTTGGCTAATGCATCACAGTCAATTTGGGAATCATCGATGGTTATTGGAACCGGAATGATGCCCAGTTCAACGCACTTCTTATGATGAGCTTTAGATTTCATGTGTTTGGTTAAGTTGCCCTTCGTTTTAAAGGCAAAAGCACAATGTCGACAAGAATAAGGCCTTAAATCTGTATGGGTTCGAATGTGTTTCTTCAACATTGATGGTTTCTTACAACGTATTCCGCACTCTTCACAAACATATTTCCCTCTTCCTCTCCCTCTAACATAAGTGTAATCTTCATTGGATTTGAAGCCTCCTTCAAATATCTTCACTCTCTTCGGTTGATTAGGATCATTTGAGTCCGAATCAAAGCCGGACATCGTACTCAAACGATCCTCACTCGTTTTCCTGCTATTGATTACACTTTTGTCCATCAAATCAGTCAAGTCCTTGGTTGGGAGATCATGAAAAACAAGAGAAGAATCAATATTAGATATTTGATGATGAATAAATAGTTAAAGATGACCACAATGATGATAAGCGTGACTCTGTTCATGCATTCAAAATGATAATCTAGACTGACCATAGTGAAGATAGAGTAAGGGGTTACACTAATTGGACAATAAGGACAAGAAAAGAAGAGGACGAAACAAAGAAGTGAAAGACAAAGAGAAAGTGAAATTCAAGTGATCACAACAAGAGTCAAGTGAATAATGAGGCAAGGGTAAGAGGGCAAGCAAAGAGGTAAAATTTTTCGTACTTTTCAACGGAAGTTTTCAAGATTATTTCAAGTATATTTTGAAAACGCATCGACAGAGTAGACAGAAAGTGATCTTCGTTGTCTATCATCATCTCACTGGACAATCAGTCTCTTTCTCACTCTAATCTCACTCTTTCTCGCTAATCTCTCTCCTTCTCCTCAATCTCTTTGTTTATCTTCTTCTCTCTCTCTCTCGTTATCTCTCACCCACCAACTCTCGTCAACAACCAATACACATTTTTTTCACGGAAAAAGTCATATTCTTTTCATCTTTTTTTCCCTTCAATATTTTAAGTTCCCAAATTTTCAGGCTTCAAACTTTTCGGCCCTCAGGGAATTTTAGGAATTGCTTTTTAAAAGCAAACTTTTGAGAAAAACTTTTCTCTGCTTTGCTTTTTGCTTGCAAGTTTATGTTGAACACTGGACAAGTTAGTAGGAAGAAAAGTGAACTTAACCGGAAGAAAAGGACGGAAAAAGAGACAATTAAAGTTTACTTGGGTAGCTTTTGGAGGGTAAAGAAAGGTTGAGTAAAGGTGAGTTTAGGGTTGAAGGTTGAGGGTGGCTATAAGTTATTGGAGTAAAGCCGAAAACTTTTCAAGAGAAGACAGGTAAAGCTCAAGATGAAGACGAGGATAATGATGAAAGGGCACTGTTTTTGTTGGTTTCTTTGCACAAGGACAGTTTTTACTCGCTCTTTGAGTGTCCTTCAAGGGGGGTTTGCAATATTTGGTCAAGGCTTTTCTCCTTTTCAACAAAGACAGAGAAACAAGAATAATGAGAAAGAAAAGAAAAGGTTTCAAAAAAAAGGATTTCCCGACAAAAAAAAGGTAAATCTCACAGATAAATTGGCATTGGAAATTACTGGTAAATCTCTGGTCTTTTTGTTTTCTTCAAGTTTCTCTTTTTTTCTGTACAAAACCTGGTTACAATGGTAGTTTCAGGTTAGACTCAATACTCAATGACGAGTAAAAATTGTCGACAAATCAGGTTAAGGATTTACCATTAGAAATGTTATTTAATTGTTGCTATTGTTGGACTAATTGTCGACTCTAATTTTCATGTCTAGTGTCTCGTTTATGCATTGGTTTGATGTTAAATTAAACTTCATGGTGGTAATCATTAACATATAAAGATATTAGATCAAAGCTGTAACCAACCTTAGAGTTAACATTTGTATTATTTACAATCAAATGAGCAATCAACTTGAAAATCATTGGCAATCAACACTTGAACCTTTCAGAAGTCCAAAGTTTTGTTTTTTTATTAGACGGTTAACAATATTTTTGTCAACAAAATTGAGTTGCTTGTTAATCAACATTTTTCAGGTAAAATCAATTGTTAACAGTTTAGACTTGATTTTGTTCATTGAAAATGTCTTTAAACAACATTGACAATGAGACAATTACAGTTGATAAATTAGTCAAATGATCAAGGGAAATCCCATTCTAATGTCGTCTTAATCAACAAAAATCAACAGAAATTAAAATTTTTCCCGTTTCAATTAAAAAAACATTTACAAGAAACATTGAAAGTAACATTTGATTTAACCAGAAAATTGTTGAAGCTTTTCTGGTTCTGGTTACAATTGTGATCATTTTGTGAACAGTTAAGATGCATTGATAACTAATGATACAATGAGAGTTAATCAATCAATTGATTTAGCTCATCATTAAGCATAATGTTTAATAATGATTTGTTATTGATTAAGCTTAGGTGATTGATGAAAATTTTGTATTTAACTAGAAGCTGTAATTTCCCTTTTCATCAATTAATCATTTGCCCTGAGAATTGATAAGCAAGTTGTAAATGTTTGATCAAAACACCGAAACACCAACAACAACTTTAATCACAATTAAAATCAACTGATTAATGAAATTGTGTAGACAAATATTTTTCTTCATGAAAACCAAAGAGTAAAAGTAAAATAAGAAATGTAAATCTGGTAACAATTGCAGTAAATCCAATTGACTAACATGATTAACTGATTGTCAGGGTGAAGATGAATAATTGCCTAGAAACAATGGCCAATCATGTTGGTAAACAATTAATAAATAGCAATTTATTATTAGAGAATCACAATAAACGTCAAAAATGAATGCATCTGTTTGTATTGTATAAGAATCAGACCTTAAAAAGTTGAGTTTATTGATTGATTTATTCAATTTTGGTTAATTCATTTTCATTGTTAACCCGATTCGGTGTGTTTAATTGTATCACAATTGACTTTCCATTGGTTTGTTAGTTTAAAACTAATAAAAAGACTTAAAGAAAGCCTAACTCAAGTCAAGTCACCATGATCAATACATGGTTTGGCTTGACAATCATCTGTTTGTTCATTAATTCAATTATCGGACAACAATTAACTAATGATTATTTAATAAATTTGGATGAATCAACCAACAGTGATCAAAGTGACTTGAAAAGGACACCATTTGACAACAATAAAGTAAGGGTAACCCTTGGATCTGTTTAATACCTTAACCAAATTATTTGTTTCATTTTGAAAGCAGATCAATGAGAAGACAGTGAATAAAGGTGATTTATCGCCATTAAATGGACAATCAAATGCTAATGTAATTAAAAAACCAGGAAATGGACAACTAATTGGTAAATTGGATGACAAAGGATCAACTGTTAATGGAACAAGCGAGTCAACCCATTTAGAGGAATCAAAGGATTCAAAGGATAAAACTGGTGTTTACAAGAGTTTGGATGAAATTTTAAACTTGGCTGGACTTGCAAATGCCGAGTTTTTGGTGCCTTCAAGTGACCCTAAATCATTCATGATCAAGACTCGAATCAAGACGAGTGAAACTAGTGAAAAGGAGGAAGAAGAAGATGAAGAAGATGAAGATGAAGAGAAAGGTGATGATGAAGAGGAAGATGATGATGATGATGATGAAGATGAAAAAAAGGTAAATTCTAATTCTGATGTCTAAAGTGAAATTAATGTGGACTTATTTTTTGCTTTCAAAGGAAACGACAGTGAAAAAGACCAAGAAGTCGACAGGCAAGAAATCTAAAAAATCGTCTAAAAAATCGTCCAAAAAGTCAAAGAAAAAATCCAAGAAGAAAAAGAAGAAGAAATGTTGCTGTTGTTGATGATAATCATGGTGATTTACTTGTAACATTAACACCTAATCAATTCAATTAAAGTGTCTTAAGAAACATTTCTTCATTGCTCATTGTAATATTTTGCCATTTGTTTAACATTGAAATGGTTTACCATGTAAAATTAGGTAAAGCAAAGGGCTGCTAAAAGCGTGGTAAAGGCTGATGTTCAATGTTAATCATGAACATGATCATCATCCTGTTGATGATGTCATTTCTCACTTGGTAAGGTTTTTCCATTGAGAAACTTCCCACAAGAGGTTTTCCTTTACATGAAAATACCCTGACTCTGAGTCAACATCATTATTGTATTCAGACAAACTACTGAATTGAAGGGAAACTGAAATCAATTCATTGATCATTATTACCCAAAAAAGGTCCAATATTGTTGAATGTTAATTTAGTCTGGACGCTATTGAAAGATACAAAAACATGAAGCGATTGAGTAAAGATGAAAAGTCAAGAATAGACTGGAATTGCAATCAATGAGTATAGTTGTTTCAAGATCATGGCCTCATCTATTATCGTTACCATGGTTTCATTCAGAAGTCAAGTTATCTCAAGAATCACAAATATCAGAACTTTTAGAAGGACAAATGAATAGCAGAAGACTTTTCTCATGCAACTCAGGAGCATGTTCACATGATAATGATGACACCAAACCATTAATAATAAACTTTCCTCTTCTCGCTTTTTTCCTTTCATGAGAGGGAATAAGAATTTTATGTCTTTCATTTCATGATAAACAAAGCTATTACTGAACTAAAAAGAGAGCTTCATATTAGCTGTTTGATAAGTTTCAATTAGAGGAAACGAGAACACAATTTGAATAGGTTTTACAATATTTTCAAGTCTCATTCAGTAAACTCTGAAGTTGTTGAAAGGTTAACCTAGAGATGTAATTGTTTACATCGACATTAAAAGTCATGAGATTCAATTGATTTAACAGTTAATTGTTGAAGCGATGATCGCCTGGGAGAGACCAGAACCATGATTCACATTGTTAGTGATAAGATTGAATGGGTTAAATTGCGATTAATGTTGCTGATTGGAAATGTAAAATGTGTTGATCAAATACGAACGGGAAATTGTTTCACTTGATTAACTTGATAATTGATTTTTGGGTTTACTAGTGATTACTAATTGATACTTTATGTGTGTTCCATGTGAATAGATCAATGAATTTGGTGAAACCAGAGAAGCTACAGAAAAGGTCACAAAGGAATCGCTAATTATTTGTATTATACAATGAGTCCAATTATTGTAATTTAACAGGGTTCATATTGAAATTGATTAACGTTAACATTATTAGGTTGATTAAAATGAACCTGAAATCTAATTAAGGTTGATAATGTCAAAGAGTCAGGTAAATGTGACAGCCAAAAGCTAAACATTTCACCATGAAATAACCATGAGTCAATGGAGAAGATATTTGGCAAACATTTCCCAAATGGTTAAATGAATGAATTTATTTATAAAAATAATGATGAAAAATATTGGAAAGTTTAGGGTTCAGAATTATCTCAAGTCTATTAATAGATTTACCAAAAGGTTGTTTACATGATAAATGGATTGAAATGGTCCATGATAGCTGATTGGGTTTTGCTGAAAAAATGGACATTTTTTTATTCCAAAATTATCATGAAACTTGATCTGTGTAATTAGTGGTTAAAGGTTGACTTTTGGAAGGCAACTTGTCTGGATAATTAGTTAATTAATAAACAAAATTAACCAAAAAATTGTCATTCTTATGTTAAAATGGTGTTGATGTCAATTGATAAACAGTAAAGGCGAGAAGGTGATTGCAATAAGAAAAGCTATAAACACTGGTTAATCAACATATTAATTGGTGTTGATTAAAATATAAGAACAATTAGTGATTAACAAAGTCATATGATGATGCATTATGAGAGGCAAATGGGTAACAATTTGTAACGCAATAATGTTAATTAACATTAATTGTCATAATGAGGGTGTAATAATTGAAACTTAATATGGAGTTAACGGATTATGGTTAAGGATTGGTTACAATTAAAGTAACAATTTAGCTGGTTAATTGGGACACAATTGAAACCTTGTAAAATAACAGATGGATTAACAATTGTCATTATAAATGATTAACAATTAGACAAAATGATGTAAATCAAGAAAAAATGTTATCAACGACAACGCAAAGGTTTACCAAAAAGCTCATCAGTTGATTGTCTCAACTGTTCAAGTTGCTATGAACATAAATTGTTAAAATTAACACTAACAATTAACTAATTGCAAAACCTTAATTTGACCTTTATTTACTGTTAACCAGTAGGAGATTAACATTGAGTAACAACCTTTCAAATTGTTTTCATCAACATTTACAAGATTCAAGGTTTTCTCGTACAACAATTGTAATCAATTTAAGTCAACACTTTAAAATGATACAATTAGCATAATCAGCTAATTAATTATTGTAATCAGTTGATTTGGACCATTTTTTGGTCATTAACTTGGTAAAGGTTTGAAATGATTTTAGTTTTTTGTCAATAAGCAAAGACAATGAGAAAAAATAATTCAAGATTTGTAGCTTCAAGAGTTTGAATCAATTTTGCAAATCTTTCAATTTTAGCACTGAAGGGTTGAAACCTAAGAAGCTTAAATCAAGTAAATCATCATCATGTTCATCAGAATAACTTGAACATGCCCTGGGTTATCAATAATAATAAAGTTAATCAGGTCATCATCAAGGTTAATTAGGCGTTTTCAAGTCAACAAAATGAAGCTTTTATTCAACAGTTAAGAAGCACACATTTATGCAACGTTTTGTAATTATACTGAATACCGATCAAAGGTTAAAGTTCAACCTTTCTGTGTGGATCATCAGCATCATGAGTAATCATGAGTAATCTGTGATCATGAGTGAACTATTCTTGAAACAAGACCAAGTCAAACTGAACACACTCTTAATGTTTACATTAATAGATGAATGATAAGCCAATCATTCAATCATCATGAGATTGAATAATCAGATAATCTTGAGCAATGGAAAGACGAAAGACGATAAATACTTATCATGAATTCATCATGAAAGATAGGAGAGAATCAATGTTAACTTGGCAGTTTTAAAAGGGTTGAACAAATTGTAAGACAATTGAAAAGCCAACATCAAGTTCATCATCAACAGCTAACTTTAAGTTTTGTATTTTATTGTTTCAAAGTTGCTCAGCTTGGTTCACTTGAAACTCATGATTCTGTAATTGGATAGGAAAATATGTTTATAACCATTATATAAATTTGTCATCAGTTAATCGCTATTAATAATTGGGAAATGTAGTCACATAAATCTAATCACAGGGTAAATTAAATGAAGGTTACTTCAAGTCTATTGTGTTTTAATTAGCTAATCAACTGACATTATAATTGATATCAGAATAAACTAGATAAACACAATTCTCAACAATCAACAAGAAACTGATGAAAAGGCTGAAAAATTGAATAGCAAATGTTGATGTCAAGTTGAATTTCAATTTTGAACCAGAAAATTTTTGTTACCAGAAAACCAATTGAAAGTTGGTTTGAATGTTGGGATAAACTCAGCTGAAAATTGTCAAAATTGCAATTTCTGGTTCATCAACACTTTTGTTATTAGATGAAAGCTCAATGTTAATTGTTGAAGGTAAACAATTAGCTGATCAGTGAATGAGGGCAAAATATGAAGCTGTTTCAACGTTGTTTTTTGTATTTACAATCTTTTTAATGGTAAACATAATAATAACAATTCTGATTATTATAATGTTAACGGGAAAAAAAGTATGAAACTTTCAATGATGTAAACATAATCAACATGATTGTAATAAGTATTATCATCAACCTTGGGTAGAGCAAAAAACAGTGTCATTCAGTATTATGATATAATCAACAGAATGAATGAAACAAAAAAATGATGAAAGTCGATAAAGAACTGAAAGAGAGTAAAATGTTGGAATCGAAAGTGAAAGTCGAAAGAGATTCAAATGTCATTGAATAATAGCGTAATAGTAAACGGGACTTTCTTTCTCTCTCTTTTCACTGAGGTCAAGCAAGGTTTTTGTCCTATTTTAGTATTCACTTTAAATCACAATTACAATTAACATGGTATTTTTCCATGTTACTAGTCATTATAACTTGAAATGATAACGGATTGAAGCTGAACAAAATTCAAGGCAAATGGTCAATAGATTAATGTCAATATAAATAGCCGTTGATGTTTATGGATTAAGTGGACATTTGGTCATGAGATTAATATTGCTGGTTAATCTTGAAATTGATATTTTTGTTATTGACTTTGAATAGCAATTCAAGATTAGAGTTTTTTGAAACTTTCTGTTGAGCTTTGCTTTTATTATTGCTTTGTAATTTTGGGCTGCTTTTTTGTTTTCATTTTTACTCAATTCATAACTCATTCAGATTGCTGAGTGAATCAAATCAGGTAAAATCAAAGGGAGTGATTAAATGAGAGGGAAAACTCGCCGTCAAGGTCGCAAATCCCGGTCAACAGGCTGGTAAAACTGGTTTTTGTTTTGCTATGCGTTTGTTGATTTTTTTTGCTGCTTTGCTACTTTTACACACACACACAAACGTACAAAAAAGTTAATTTCAATCATTAAGTGAGGAAAATTAAAGCAACTGGTCATAATCGATCATCAATCTAATCATACTTAAACTCATAATCACCATAATCATCATAATCAGAATTACAATAAGGAATCAAAAGGATAGTCAGAAGCATGATAATTCATGAAAGTGGTGAAAACAGAAACGACCTGATAGACAATATTAAAAGATGTTTTCACGATCAAGTTAATTTTATTCCGATTTTTGTCTTTTCCCAATTCCTTCATTTGTCAGATATCTTTTTTTTGGCTGAGAGAAAGTTTTATGCTCAAAATTGAGATTATCATATTGAGTGAGAATCAAAAGCATCTCGTGATCACCCTTAGGCCAGTTGGTTACATTTTCAATCGTTGACTGGCTAAGCGTTATAATGTAAGTCCAATTATTGAAAGCCTTGACCACAGTTGGGAAAGACACAATAAACCCAGAGAAGGCAATGAGACTATTTGATTCATCATGATGAGTGATCAACACTTTTCACCATTAAACAATGGATAGGGTTAAACCTTGTCAAGGATTAAGACCTTATTTTATCAATTTTATATCAATCACCTTGACTTGTCCTTTAAAAATGATAAATTAATTTGCTTTTTCATCATTTACCTGAAATAATTTTGTGTAAGTGTGAGTGCTTTTTTTTCTTACGAATTCAATCGGTGGTGGTTCAAGGAAAAATTTTGTTTCATAAATGGCCTTCATCAATCGGCTTTGCCGTTCAATCGACTCACACTTAACCAGTAAAACAACAACAAATGAGTTTGTTATGAGAAGCAGAAAAAAAAAGAAATACAAAAATATATATTAGGTCATGGCCGGTTTCGTTCAGTGAATCTCAATTTGGTATGAACCAGAAAATGAGCACTTAATATCAGTCAACATTACAACCATACAACATTAGATAGACAATTGAGCTTTAACTGTTGCAATGAAAAGATTATTCAAGGTTTGTTTATTAGTAATTAATTGAATAGCATCTCTCAGGTTGGAACCAAGGTTTCTCATGACAGTACAATCAAAACAAAAATAACAACAACAACGGCGACAATCATGATAACTAATGATACAGATATTATGGAGAAAAAGGCTAAAATCATTCACAATTAAGGTGAGGTAAAGAACTGATTGTAGATGGAAAGATTGAGATTGTGATTAGTGAGAAAGGTAAAAATGGTGAACATTGGAATCAACGTAAACCAGGGAAAACTCGTAAGATGATTTTAATCAACAAAATCAATCACCAGAATCTGGTTACATAAATATCAATTGAACCAACAAAATGCTGATTAATCACTGTTTTTCACTCATCATCAACATGTTCAACTTATCATGTATTGGAAAAACTAATCATAATCAACATCTATTAAAGAGCTTCAACAATTTACAATTAAAACAGCTCTTCGCACACATTTACCTTCAATGGACAATGTTAACCAGAAAGTTAATCAGTTTGAATCAATCTTAATCAGAAAGGCGTTGTTACGGCGAAAAACGCGTTTCGAACTTAAAATTTCTGGTTTCTTTCAACTTGTAATCAACAATAGAGTAACCATCATTTGATTCAAGCGTTCAGGTTCAATATCAATGCAAGATGAAGATGAAGAGGAAAGGCGGCATTTTTCAGACCACTTTTACATGATAACGAACGCTAATTAGGTTAACATCAATTGCGAAATTAAAACGTTGAAGGGGAGATGATGATGAGAAGGAGGAGGAGAGAGTCGAGACCATGACCTACAAGATTAAATACTATGAGCTATGGAGAGTTGATTACAGAGAATTAATTGTGCACTAATTAACGTACAATTTGGTAAAAGTCAATATCCTGAAATGAACTAATAATTATAATGAAATATTGATTAGCTTGATTCTTTTCTGAAGGAAATTTTTGCTCAAAAATTGAATGTTATTGTCCAACAACACTTTTCAACGTTTGTCAGGAGGAAAGTTTAATCACAACAAATTTAAAGGTTTTCCAGGTTAACCCGAATCATCCTTTATTACTTTAATTTTACAATAAAATGGTTTAACTTTAACATTAAATTTTATCACAACAGGTGTGAGAATTAGTTAATTGTGTTGAACCGTTTGTATCAATTGATATTGTCTTCAGCTTTTCAAATGTTCAATTGAAGATCAACAATAACCATTGAAAAAACAGGCTTTAAAAGTGAAAATTACGTGAAAACTCAATGTTGACAATCAAAGAGATTTATATGGATTTAATCAACACAATTGCAGATTAATGGATCAATGAAAGGGATCAAATTTGGTTTAGACAATAAATCAACATTTAAGGAAATTATAACAACCTAAATAAGTTAACAGTTGAGATTGCATCTTATTTTACCCAAAAAAAATGAAAACTAATTACGACCCATTTGTATTAGCTTTGCTCATCTAAATGATCAACAATTTACACTCGAGTTGATGAAAATTGCGATACCATTGGTGTATTGTCAAAGGTTGAACATTTTCTTACTAACCATTTAGATGTTCAAGTTAATAGGAAACTGAGTGAAACGTTATTCTTTATCTTGCATTTGATAATCAAAACTAATTTAACGGTGAATTATTTTACCAGTAAATGAATAACAAAAAAAATATCAATCTGATAATAATGAATAATATCTGTAATTAACTTGGAATGGAAACAGAACAGTAACTAACCACCTTGGACTCATTTCATTTCAATCACCTTTGGTGTGTTGCCATATTAACTCATACTAATCAAACACACACAATAATCAACGTTTTGGCTTTTGATGAACATTTTGTTATTAGTAAATTAAAATGGAAATATTGACCAAACAAACAAAAAAGCAAACCAGTTTGACCATTATTGGAAAGCACAAAAGAGTCACTTGTGGTTTATTGATGATGAAAATGAAGTAAAATGTAAATACTTACTTCAATCCCTTTACGTTTCAATTCAATTATTTCCCGTTTAATTAAAGCCTTTTCCTCTGATTGTTTCTTGATTGTCCAATATGATGATGGGGTTAATATACATGAATCATTGAGTGACTTTTTTGATTCAGATGAAGGTGCAAAGGTAACTTTAACTCCGTTTGCCTCAAAACACCATTGCCTTGTATCGTAGGCATGAAATAATTCACTAGGACTAATTAATTTAAATATATCATCGTGGGGTGAAAGTATTTGCCAGTTGCTGTACATTGAAAGCTTTGATTGAGCTTCTTGGGGAACGTACATTGGTTGTGGACGATAAATGCAACAATAGGTTGACCGAGTAGACATTTTAAGGCCTAAATAGGTGTACGTTTGACCCTTCATATAGAGCTGCATACATTTCCTTTTGGGTCGAGGGGTGTCTGGACTGACCAGGGTTGATCCAATCAATTGATTGAAAACATTGAGTGAGCTTCGTTTCCGTATTGTTAGGGATGTTGGCCGGCTATTTATGCTTCCATTCATTTTGGTATCAAATTTACTATTTTTTGATAACAATTCATTCATTGGTTTAAGCGTTTCACTTTCCGTCTTTTCCCCATTTTCATGGTCAGTTTTATCGGTTAGGCTTTCCATCTCTTGGCAATTCTCGTCCTCTTCAATTTTTATGTTTCCTTTCATTTTATCATCCATTTGTTTATCCTTTATTTGGTCTTCACCAAATTCCGGTATTGAAGGTATCTGTTTGTAGACCAAACAACTGGTGTTAATGGTATCGTTAACAGCATGACCAGAAGGGTTTATTGTTGATGCTGAGGAAGCAGTTGCTGTTACCAATGTGGATGAGTTGGATGATGAAAGTGATGAATCAGATGAATGAAGAGCCTCTGGGGAAGCCTGGAATTCAATATTCTCCTTATTTTCAAGAAGAATTTTTCTAAGAACTGGAAATACAATGGGGCCTGATAGGGTCACCTTGGTTTCGGGATATTTAAGATGAGGATAGTAATCGGGTAAAATGTCAAATGGTTTGGTTGATTGATTAGTTGATAATCTATCAAGACTAGATTGATTGACAAAATTGTGAGGATTGGAGGAGGAGGAGGGGAAAACAGCTGAATGGGTGACAATGCTATTTGATGGAAAGGTTATTGGTTCATTCAACACTGAGATTACATGGTGTGATGAGTTACTAGAGTTATTATCACTGATAATGGATGGTGAAAGGCCACTGTTCAAACAATAAGATTCGATTAATCCTTCCTTGTTGTTTAATTTATTACTATTACTAGCAATATAAGGTAATTTACTTGGTAAACCTTGAACAATTGAAGTTTTACGGGTAAAATGGGAATTGGAATCGCCGGTTAATGGATATTGTAAATTGTAATTAGACTGATGATGTCGTAAGTAAGATTTGGTGAAAAGTGGTTCTGATGTTTTCCGCTTTTTTAAAGGAGGTCCTGCTGACGGGGCAAGTAATTGTTGCTTTAAAATGTTACCCACAATTGGTTGCTGTTGTTGTTGCTGGGATTGATTTAAAGATGACTGATAGGTATGTTTAATACTAACATGTTGAGGTTGAGAGAAGACATTGCTTGGCTTAAGATTTGAACAAGATGACTGAACAGGTTTGGTTAACTGTTGTTGTAAGAAATTTGACTCCATAACAGACATTTTACGTTGGACATGGTCATTTAACAGTTGAAGTTGATTAAGTGATAATTCATTTGTTGATTGGGTTTCATTGGCTTTACAATAATGTAATTGATGAGCTTCAAGGGTTTCTTTGTTTCTGAACGCAATTTTACACAATGTGCAAACATAGACGAGCATTGAAAGCTCTTCTTGAATAGGTGGTATCATGGTTGGTCGACTAATTTTCCGCTCATTGGGTTCACCTGAATCACGAGCTTTCAATAATAAATCTTTAATTATGCTTCCTTCAGGATTCTCTGGGTTTACATTAAAATTAGCATCTACAATATTTGGGTTACATGTTGAACTGCTTTTTCTGCTGGTTACACCAGAGTCTAGGGTCAAACCAACAATGGGTAAACCTGTGACACCAGAAATTTGAGATGACGATGATGATGAAACAGGCACTGGGATAACCCTAACTGTTGGGGAACTCTTTGATGAAGTAAGCAAATTTCTCACCAAACTAGATTCTAATCCAGTTTCATGAGCATGAGATGACTGAATTCCTATAACTCCTGTTCCTGATGAACCATTTGATGGTTTGTTCATAATAATTGGGCTTTGTTGATGTTGTTGTTGTTTCATGCTAATTATAACAGAAGGATAAATTGGTTCACTAAATTTTTTGGCTGGACCAGGATGTACGGGTAACGTTAAACTAGACGGGTGCTGATGAGCATGAGGCACATTTGATGGTGTCACAACCGTGCTACCTGAAGTTAACGAATTTGTTGTAAAGATTCGACCTAAAAGAGCCGATTGCAATTTAGAACCAGAAACATGATTGGGATCGACAGACATTTCACTAAATCGCCGAGAATGTAGATTACTATTGCTGCCATGAGTAGTGTTGCTTGTCGTTGTACCGGTTGATAAAGTAACCGGATAAGACATAGATCCGGAGGGCACTGATGAGACTGAATGCCTTGAAAGATACCTTTTGGGCCATAGAGGATCCAAAGTATCAACAATTGCAGCATTCTCAGAGATTATTTTACTTATATGCTGCTCTATTTCCTGAGCATTTGCTTTGGGTTGAAGACCAGTTGAATTTTTTCTAGTTGAGGTGAAATTACTAATACAACTATTAGATGCACTATCATTATTGTTATGACTACCATTTAATGAGGAACTTTTATTAGATGAAGTTTCTCCATTACCTTCAATTGGTGAAGTGTAAAAGGTGGAAAAGGTTGTGGAAGTGGAAGATGAAGGTACGCTTTGAGCAGTGGATGAATAAAAAGATGTTGATGGTATGGATGGATAGGATGATGATGATGATGATGATGATGAAGTCAGGGTGATTGAAGAAGGTACAGTTGTTGTTGTTGCTGCTGTTGATATGGACACTCCAGAAGAATCAAGATTATGTTTGGTTGAGATTGGATGTTGTTGTGGCTGCTGTTGCTGAAGATGATTATTTCGACTTTTGTGAATTATCCAATTTAATCCAGCTGGTGCAACAAAAACTGATTGCTTTCGGTAAGGTACGGATGGACTTGGTGTTGTTGAACTAAAATTATTGTTTAAGGTTGACTCGGGCACCTTGAAAGTGGTGGTCTCTTTGCATACAGAGATTACACTATTTGTGGTACCAGACGATGATACAAATCCTTCACTGTTAACTTCATTACTTTTGCTTTCATTTTCACATTTATCATTATAATTACTGTTAGTATTACTACTAATTTTACTATTGCAATCATCGATTACTTCATGGGAAAGCTCATTACCATCATGAACTGTGACACTTGTATTATTTCCATCAAGGCTTTTATATGCATCATATGATAATTTAATGTTACAATTGTTACTGGAGGTATTATCACGATTAGTATTATTATTATTATTGCACAAATCGTCACCATTCATTTTCATCATCAAAGCTGCTCCATTGAGATGATTCTCGTTCATCTTAGTTGGCATATTGTCCTGACGTTGTTGTACTGTTATTGGTTTAACTCCAACTGTTGCTTTATCAACACCGTTTTGAATAACTCCACCGATAATTTTTGTTTCATTTAATCGAGTTTTGGCACCATTTTCATAGTTTCCATCCATAAGGTCACAAGTTGAAGATTCATCTCCATTAAGATGATTCGGAGTTTTCCGTTTTTCATCTAGATCAAATGAAAGAGGGAAATTATTAAAGATAACGGTTGATAACATAACCATGGAACTCATTCATTAACTGAGGTAATATACACACATATACACTCATAAATAAATTAATCAAGAAAGCAAGGTTTGAATCTTCACCTATCAAAACTAAAAACAATCTCTTCCTGTTTGATAATTGAAAAAAAGGGTTGACTTAGAGGCCCATATAAATACTAGAGGGGGTAATAACAGAGTGAATAATGATCAAAGTCAACATCAGATTATTTAGAATAAAAAGTAATTCAATTGATAGTGTAAAGGTAACCAGAAAATACTGGTAAATAGGACTTACCATTAGTGGAAACAAGATGCTTGGCAATAATAAGTTGATGATCAAAAGTGAGTTTTGGAAATGGAGAAGAACGAGCAGGAGTTGCAATCTCCATTAGACTGTTTGACTAATCCAATAAACAATCAACATAACGTTTAGCTTTAGTAACTTTGAAAACTAGAAAGGTAAATAAAAGGACAATTAAAAGTGTAACGATTATTTAAATTCAATAGATGGATGTTTCAGTTGATGTTGTTGTTGGTACTGTTACTCCAGATGATAGTAATGTAAGTTTAGGTTGATGAAGCATAGAGATGAACGAAAATTGAACAAGTTAACAATCAAAAAAAAGAAGCAAAGGATGAAAAATGTAAGAGAAAACAGAATTGAAATGAAAATTGATAAGGACAAAGCACCGTTAAATCAACATGAAAATAACAACAATATACACACAACAAAAATATTCATTCTGAAATCACAAGGCATCCACCAGCATTATCATTATTACATGAAAAGCTAAACAACATAAACAGACATGCAGACAGTCTCACAAACTCACTCACAGTTTGGGGAAATCAGGGAAAGCAGAAACAGACAGAAGATAGAAAGAGAAGGGAAAGAAAGAGAAGATAGGAATGAAAAAAGTGACTTGTGAGTGAGCTAAGGTGACGCTGCTAATCATCATTATCATCAAAAGCAGCAACAACAGCAGAAAACTCAGTCTCAGTCTCATATCAGAAAAAACCTTCAAAAATTTTTTTCATGCTTACACCAGGCTTTCTCTTCCCTCTTCCCTCTTTCTTCTTTTTCTCTTTCTTTTCCCCTCTCTGTCTCTCTCTTTCTCTTCCCCTACGTTTTCCCTCTTGTGACGAAAAATAAACCATTTTCTTTCTGTTTTTTCTTGTTCTGTTTTTTCTTGTTTACTCGTTCTTAGTTTCCCTCAAGCAACACCAACATCACACAACATGATGATAAAAAGGCTAGCAAACTTCAAGAATGTTGAAAGATAAAGAGGAAAGTGGTGTTTATAAAGAAAACGATCAAATATTTTCCTCTCTTCATCTCTCTCTCTACCATAATGTCGTAGAAAGTGAAATACGTAGCCTTATTGAGGTTACCTCTTCCAGCCCATGCTGCTGTACTCATCTTTTCACACCCTTTAATCAATCAACACTGACCAGTTTGGCCTTTTGGTGGACATTAGGAACTTTTTCTATCTTTATCTCTTTCTTTCTTTTCCCTGATAATGGCCAGTTTATCGTGTCATCTTGAATTATCGGCTCAAACAAAAGGAATGCTGATTGGATATCTTTAGTGTAGAATCACCTTTAACAAATGCTGCATTGTCTAGAGTCATTCAATCACCAGACCAATTTGAACTATTGTTTTACTGATTAAGCATTCATTAGCCTTAATTAACAGATTTTACAGTTGCTAGAGGGGGCAATGAGAGATACTTTCAAACCATCGTGTTTAATCAACAAAAAAAGTCATTCTGATTATACCAATGGTTTGTTATCTCTAATTGTCTTTATGTATTTTTCCAACCAGATTACAAATGTTTTATCATTGCTCAACCTAAAATTATTATCTCTATTTCTCGTTCCTCTTCTCTCTCTTCTCTCTCTTTTTCGTCATCATCATCACCGTCATCGTCATCGCCATCGACATTATTATCATCTTCGTCATCACCATTATTCTTGTGATATTGTTTGCAGTATAAGTTTTCACCACCATAAACCATTTATCCCATTGAAAACATGTTGGCTGTTACATGTTTAACTTGCATGCTCATTTTTTTGTGGCAACAGTGCCAAATCAATGGATTATGGGAACATTGACACAACAGACTAACATGTTAATCTTCAGTGTCATATTTAAATAATTTATTCAACTGGTTTCAATCATTTAACACACTGGTTTCACCTAAAAAACATCAACATATTACTAGGAAAAACAATCAACGGCAAGCATACAACAAACAACTTCTCTACCAACCCAAAACTTATTATATATTTAGCCTAATATTTTTTTTTCTCTCAATCTCTTTTACAGTTGCCCTCGTGATATTCAGTTATCTTTGGAGAAGGATGCAATGAAGAAAATCTGATTGAGTGGTTAATCAAATGCAGTGGTATTAATGTTGATTAGAGAGGCAAAAATTGGAGGAGAAGGAGGAGAATGCTGAGGGGACTGGAAAAGGGTTCACCGAGGAAAGATGAGGTGGAAGAAAATCTGTTATTTGGTGTTACTTGATGAAAAAAAGCTTATTACATGATCACCAATTGAAACAAGATTTCTGTCAATATCTGGCCTTTAGATAAGCGTCCTTGGGAAAACAGTGACGATCTTTATTGAACACTGTTTTTAGTTAATGTTTGACTAAATGAAACAACTAAATAGTTAACTGAGATGATTAGTGAACACTCACTGTTCATACCTGATTTCTTGTCAAATCAAATTAAACAGTGAGCCAATTCACATTGAGGTCAACGAGCAACCTTGAAACGAAAACGTGCTTCTCATTATTATTATTAACGAATCTCATGAAAGGAGAACCGAAGAGTTGAGAAAGAAGACAATGACGAAAATGATGACGAAAATGAGAGTCTAATGGTTCAAAGCGATAATGGTGGAAGAATCAGAGAAGAAGCAAACGAGTTGAAGGAGGAGGAATCCCTTTGTAGATGATAAAATTTCAATTGCTCAAGCTAGACTTACAATGCATCGAAAGATTATTGGTTGATTGATTATTTGGCGTAATTAAGAAAAGTACTTCAGAAATGTGATTTATCTCTGGAATAGTATCTTTAATCTGATCAGATTATCATCCCATCTTGTTATCAAACCCAAAGATTATTGTCAAAATAACAATTATTAAGACTAACGCATTTTGGTAACACATATGAATCAGTGGAGTGGAAAGACAAGAATCCATCAATTAAGGTAAGAAACCAGAAAATCTATGAGAATTGACTCAATATATTGGAATATGATTTAATTGGTTCAAGTTTAAGTTGTAGATAAGTTTAGGTTGAATCGGGTTCATTTGGGTTGTTTTAGGTTATGTCAGTCATGAAAGTCAATGTTTTTAGCTCAACAGCTGAGGCCTAAGAAGATAAATTGATCACTGTGTCTTTACCCAAATGTTTGCTTCAAATAAACTTGGAATTATAACAGAAAATTTATTTCTTATTTTTTATTTTAATAATTTTTAGCTAACATCTGAACTTGCTTAAAATTGTGGTTAAAAATGAAGTGAATGTTAAAGAAGGAAAAAAAGGTAAGTGAAGGTGACTTTGATCTGAAAAAAGTTTAAATACCTGTTTAGTTGTTTTGATTAAAGCAAACACTATTCCTCTATTTTGTTATATTCAATTTGGGACCAAACAAGTGTCAGGTAATTTTTACTAATTTATTTCTATTAACTATTAACTCAATTTGATTTCTAATTTTCACTTTCTTTCCATTCTTTCTACTCTTTTTTCAGATCTAGATGTGATCCTTGAAAACTCGGAGTCATTTTTTGTTAATCTGATAATCGAATTGAAATTGGCCTTTTTTATTAAATTATATCATTTCCAGTTAAATCAATTACAAGTAAGGCTGTACCAGGAATCAAGTGAGAGGTCATAAGCTACGGGCGCTAGTCTATTGTGTTAACGGAATTAGCTGATTGAGAAATTGGACAATCAGTATATTGTCACGTAGACTATTATCTTGACAATCATTTGGTTGTCTAAAATGATTGACCGTTTTGTCCATGATGAAAGAAAACAAGAGATCAGTGACCAGAACTGTGAGATTTAAAATTGAGATTACAGATTAAATCACGGATTCAATGTAAGTTCATTTGTTTTGACAAAACCATTTATTAATGAGAAAACTTCAGTTAAAATCAGTCCAAATTTTCAATGTAAAGTTTACTTTAACCATGAGTTTGTTCATCTTCAAACTAACAATCATGTTTTTTATCAACTCAGTGTTTCAATTTACTTCAAGCTCATTTACAGAGCTATTGAACAATACTTCAACCAGGCAGGGATTGACTTACGATCGGATTGTTGGTGGATCAACTGCTGCTTTAATCGACTTCTCATATTTGGTTTCCCTTCAACGAGCAACGACAACTGGATATAAACATTACTGTGCTGGTTCCTTGATTAAATCTAATATTGTTTTGACTGCAGCTCATTGTATCTCCAGGTAAACATGATAAACCAAATTATCATAAACTGAATGTTCAATTGTTTCTCTCCTCTTTTCCAGGATTAAAATTAAAAATTTACTTCTGGTAACCCAAGGAAAATCTGGTTCACAGAAACATTTCCACCAAGTATCCGAGGCAGTTATCCACTACAATTATAATGAAATTGGACATTTAAATGATTTAGCTTTACTCTTTCTGGTTGACCATATTCCTGTATCTAAATTGGGTTTAACCACAATTGCTCTGCCCTCGATAAAATTAGTTAACCAACGATATTATGGCTATTTACCGAGTCGTCTAACAGTCATTGGTTGGGGTAACAATTATGGATCTAGATTATTGAGAAAAGCTAATCTCATTATCCATAGTGACATTGAGTGTAAATTTTATCATGGGATGTCTTATCGTCAGGGTATGATTTGTGCAGGTGGTAATGGAGTAGCTAGTTGTTTTGGTGATTCTGGAGGTCCGCTGATTTTAAGGAGAGGATCCAAAAGTAATAAAGATGTCCTGTTTGGTATTGTTTCATGGGGACCCGAGAATTGTGGTGTCCGACCGACTGTATTTACTAATGTCATACATTACCTCAATTGGATCAAAGTAACAATGCAAAGATATATCAGATGAAAGTTGAGCGGAAAATGGCGAAATTTCAATGTATTGCTTACATTTTTCAAGTATTGTTGTGATCCTCATGTGATCATCACTCAGTAAAAGCTCAATTCATACAATATTTATTGTAATACGTTTTTTACAACTGATTTTTTCATCTTGAATAATGAACGACGATAAAATTGAAATGCAAAAAAATATCATAGTCATTTGGTCAATATGACTAGCTTTATTTAATATACAATCAATATGTAATCAACAATTTATAATGTAATAGCAATTTATATATGGTTTATTTAAGCTTTAAAATTTCTGATTAAAAGGATTGAACCGATTGGGTTCATATAGTTTTTTATAAAATTTGCTATACAGCTGAAAGCTTTTTATTTTGATTTGTTTTGCTTCATTTTTCTACATTGATGGTTTAACCTGTTGAAACCATTGTGCTGTGTAATGTTGACGGTTTCAATTTCGGCGTCAGGACCATCGAAGATCATTGAATTATATCTACTTTTGGTGCAAGTAATATTTTCATTCCTTTTCCCTTCTTGAGCAGATCGAAGGCTTGTTGGTAGTCACCCAATGAGACTATGTGACTAACCAAACCCTTGGCATTAACCCTTCCACTGGAAATAAGATCAATAGCAGCTGGGAATCTGTTTAACCAGTACAAGAAATTAAATTAAGTAAACTGAAAGTGATGTTATGAGTTACAGTAAATTCACACTTATTTTGACAATAAAAACTGTCTATTATATTGCCAATAGACGAAAGTAATATTTAAATTATCCTAAGGCTAGAGCTCTGATACCAATAGATGGCTCTGATTTTTGGCCAAAACAAATGTGAATTTACTGTATTTTTAATTCAACTTACGTGTTATTATATCTAGCAACTCCTAATAAATCAACTTGCCGAAGTGATGCAGTACTTAAATCAACATTAACTCCTTTTGATCCCAATCCTTGTAACAAAACTTTGCCACCTCGTCGAACTCCAATTATACCTGTATTGATACATGAACCAACACCAGTACAATCAATGGCAACATCAGGTGGTCCACCCATTATTTGGTTAACTTTCTCTGCAATCTGTTGTGGTGTTTGTTTGCTATCAACCAATAGAGTATAATCAGCTCCAAAATTTTTGGAGGCCGATAATCGTTCCTCGTTCAAGTCAGTTATGCAAACTTTGCTGGCTCCAAATGCTTTAACTATCATCAAACATATTATACCGATTGGACCACTTCCAGTGATTAAGATTTTTTCATTTCCTTCAAGTTTAGCTCGTCTAATTGCCCAGATACAACAGGCAAATGGCTCTACAAGAGCACCCTCTTTAAGAGTCATGTTATCAGGCAATCTGCAGATCAATACAAACAAAGGAAACAAAATTTTAAAATGATTTGCAATCAGTGATTCAAGCTGATTGACTCTTCGAGTGACTTACTTGTGACACAAAATAGCAGGCCAAACATTGGTTGTTCGGAAAAAGCCAGTTTTATCTGCTCCAGCACAAGTAGAATCAGCTGCGTGACATAAATTGTTTGATCCGATTCTACACAGATCACAGGTCCAACATGGTTCACAGGGTTCACAACAAACTCTATCACCAGGTTTAAGATGAGTTACTTTGGATCCAACCTTGATGACCGTTCCACTGGCTTCATGTCCCATACTGGCTTCCTTCCTTGCGTACCATGGACCAATATTACCCTCGAGATGCCAATGAAGATCACTGCCACAAATACCACAAGCAGCTACATCAATCAATACCTCTAAATGAACAAAAATACAAATTCGGATTAGTAATCACTTAATGAAATCCATCGATTGTCGAGGCTTGAGCTTTGGTTTTGAATATTCTTATCGACGAAATTTGACACAAGCTTTTAATCTAAATGGTCTCCAGACAAACATAACATTACAACATTACCTGTTTCGGATGGTTCATCATCTTTATGGTATTCATCGAGACGCAACTCGCCGGGCTTGACAAAAATTAGACTTTGCTTAACCATTATTAAGATTGAATTCTGGAACAGAGAGACTTTATTAAATGAACAGTTCAAGCAAAAATGACTTGATATCTTAATTGATACTGGTATTTAAATATGGCTCTGAGGGATAGCTCTCATACAAACTAAACAAAGATAAAAAAGCAAAATATTAAGTTTAAGTATTTATTTTGATGTCATGAATTAAATTGAATGACTATATTATCATGCTTGATAGTGATATGATGACAATATACTTGGTTGCCCTTCAATAAGCTATTGAAAACACACCACCAACAGTATTATCTGCCCATTTATGTAATATTTAATTGGAAAAATAGCTTGAAGAGTAGGTGCAGGTATTGTGTAATTTGATGACTTCACTTAAAGTCACCTTCACTTAAATTAGATGGTATAAATTGTGATTAGAAAAGACTTCATTGCTGATTGCCTTCTCTATTCAGATAATTCATGTATAATTCACAATCAGGAAGATTGGCTTAATCTTGATCTGTTTTAGTTCGAGACAGAAAGGTAAATTTTGAGCATGTGAACACAAAAGTTATTATACCATATTATGTGTGAAGCAGCGTATTAAATTGTTTATTAAACAGTGTATTTAAAACCATCCAATACTTTGAGCGCCAGAAGACATAAAGCTTTTTGAATATTCAAAAGTAACAAATAAAGCAGCATTAGAAGAAAACGAAATGAGCAAAGCTGGCCCTAAACCTTTATATAAAGCTCTGAAACCATTTGTGCGATTAATTCTTATCATCATCGATTCGTCTGTAGGTTCAATCTGCATGCGAGATTTGGCAACATCAAAGGGAAAGGTTGGTATCCAGAAACATACTCCACCGATTCCTCCGGCAATGACTGTCGTAAGAAGCCCTGAATGAAAAATGAAATTAAATATATTTCACATTGATTGCCAGATGATTCAATAAATCGAACCTGCAGTCTCTGGTTCACCACTGGTAAAATAATGCCTAGAAAATTCATAGCCACCGAAGAAAAAGAAACAACCAGGCATTTCTCTGGCGAATGTCGGTGTTAAACCTCTGAACATTCCGATTAGACCTTCATCTTTCAATATTTGACGAGTCATCCCGAAAGCAGTGCTATTTGAATGAATGATAAAAACCAGTGAAACAGGTTTAAAATAGGTTTGATTTTAGCGACTTTTTAACTCACACTTTACCACTTTGACCAGTTTCCTTTAAAGATTGTAAACGACATTTTATAAGTTCAGTCGGACAGAGAGTGAATGATGAGAAAAAAGCAGCGAAAAATCCTGCAATTGCGTTTTCTAGTGGTTTTGGTGCACCTTCATTTCCAGACAAATATGTAACACCTTTTTGACAAAAACCATGAGCACAGAAAAGAACTGAATTTTCAGCAATATTGGCTGCCAAAGCAGGGAATGTTCCGGCGTAGAGACCTCGAAAAAAACCTTCATTTTTTAGAGTTTTCTTGAAACATTGTAAACCATTATTGTAAAGATGAGGGAATGTTTGCAATTTGACTTTTACAGTATCCAAAGGCAGACCAAGAAAAACACTTGCTGATCCTCCTAATGAACCAGCAATAAATCCAACAACTCCTTCAATGAAATGGCGATGAACATCAAAATTTGATTCAGTTATACTTTGGGTGATATCCTGAGATTGAATCATATTTTTTAACTAAAAAATCTAAAAAACTAGAATTCTAATTTTACGAAATACAAAAAGTTAGATTAATTAAAAAAGATTTGAGAAAAACTGTTGAAATGATGTCAACGAAAAAAGTATTCATAATTGAAGTTCGCTTGTGCATTGTTAGAGGTTGTACAACGTACAATGAATCATATTTTTTAACTAAAAAATCTAAAAAACTAGAAATACTAATTTTACGAAATACAAAATGTTAGATCAATTAAAAAAGATTTGAGAAAAACTGTTAAAATGATGTCAACGAAAAAAGTATTCATAATTGCAATATGATTGTACATCCTTAGAGATTGTACAACGTACAATGTACAAAAGTTTGAATCTAAAATTTAAAGTAACCCTAACCAAAAATATTACGAAAGTGATAAACTTTGGGCGTTTTTCATCCTTCACATCATAACTCGTGAACTATTGATGTTGCAAGCCTGATGTTTTGACGATAAACTTATGCGAAATGATAAGCCACAATTTCAGAGTTCAAGTCCAAGATCACTTGGTTATTTTGACCAAAATTTTCTATCTCGTTCTTGTTCAGAATAGTTTTTTTGGCACAAGGAAAAATCATTTTAAAATGTCATTCAAAAGTCAAATGAAAGAGAGCTCGAATGTTCAACAAAACGTTTTACAATTCATGCTAATCTATGGTTCAAATATGAGGATGAAGTATCGATGATTCCTGAATGTAAACAAAAATAAATATTAGTAATAAATAATAATAAATGTTAATCAGTAAACGAGACAAGTCGAGTTGAAAAATAATGGCAGAACAAAAGGTCATTAATCTTGGAAGTGAATTCGTAAAGGATATTTAGTGGTTCCCAGTTCTAAGAAAATCTTTTCAATAAAAGCAAATTTTAAGCAGCATGAAATGCATATATTTTTATTAATTTGGGTTTAATTAAGAAATCGACCTCTGATAAATAAAATGTAATTAAAATAATCAAACTCTGTTCTTCCTCATTCAGAGATATCTTCTAGATCTAAGTGGGACAACTTGATCCTGCTGGTGGTTCATGCCTCTAATTTTGATATTTAATCATTGGTTAAAATTGACTCCAACTTAATACCTTGATAACTATTTCTTAGCAGAAGTGGCTTTACTGGTGAGGTCTGAGAGGAAATTAGTGTGAGATAAATGAACTATTTTCAAATGTACGTTTCTGAGTGCATTTCATCTCAACATCGATAGCAATATGAGTGTTATAATATTATTATTAATACTTGGTTAGTTACTATTACATTATCCCTTGAGATCATCCCTTGAGAGACCAATGCTTAATGACCAAATTAATATGTATGCCGAAAAACTCATTGCGAGTTTATGCATCTAACCCTCATACGCCCGTCTGATTCCCTCACGTACTCTTTGAATTTTCCCGAGTCTGCATTGTGACTCGGTACATATGTATGTAGGGATTCAAGTACGAGTGTTGACAGAGATAATATGTAACACTGTCTATGAATTACCTTGAGTCAAATGTACTACTATTAATACATGTATATAAAGTCACACAGCACAAATGAACGTATGGTACTTGTAACATATCCCTTGAATCCACAAAAACTCTATCATACCTTTGAAGTTAATTAATCAATCCAACTCTAACACCAATGGCTAACAGTGAAAATTATTCCGTTTCAATTGCCTCTCAATATGTTTGTGATTTGGGCGAAGGACCATTTTATGAATCAACAAGTGATTCCATTTATTATGTTGATGCTTTCAAGGGAACCATAATTCGTTCACCATTAAATGACGAACCAAAAGATATTCATGCTCTCGGCACCAGATTAGTTTCCCTTATCATTCCATATGCTAATGACAGTCAAAGTTTCCTTGTAAATTTAGACGACAAATTGGCCAAATACAATTGGACTACTCGTGATGCTCAGATATTGACCTCATTACCTCAACACGTAGATGGCAAAGAGAGATTTAATGATGGAAAATGTGATTCTCACGGTCGACTAATCGTAGGATCAGTTGTTGAATCGAATCAATTTGAAGGAATTGTTAAAGGTAAAGGATCAATCTATCGTCTTGATGGTAATCAGCTGAAGAAGTTGGCTGATGGTTTTACCCTGTCCAATGGCATGGATTGGTCTGTTGATGGAGAACTATTTTATTTCAATGATTCTGAGGACCAGAAAATATATGTATTTGATTATGATCAGGAAAATGGAACCTTATCAAATAAAAGAGTTTTCTTTGATTTCAAAAATCACACTGATTTCAAGTCAAATGAATATCCTGATGGTTTGGTTGTTGATGCTAACAATTTCATTTGGACTGCTCTTTATGGTGGAGGTCGATTGGTCAAGATCAATTCAAGAACAGCAAAAGTTGAATTATCAATTAATGTTCCTGCTTCTAAAGTTACTTCGTTAACCTTTGTTGAACCTCAACTAAACAAAATTTACGTTACATCATGTTATTCAGAAAGTGAACCAGATTCTGGTAAACTTTACTTGATCCATTCTATAAATAATGAACTTAAGGGTAACGGTTTTGCACAAAAATTTGTTTCTTAAACACTGTTGATTTTAATTGTATTTTTGTCATTCTCAATAAAATCTTTACAGAAAGTGTTTTATGACTTGTATTACATGGACATTACGGGTATTACGCGTATGATTTGTTTATTATTATTATGCAATAGCACTGTGTCATTGAAGCGTGCTTTCAAAGTGCTGTATCTGAGATTAGTTGTTACCTTTATGCACAAATTGTTACAAAGGAACAAAAAGAGGCTATAAACTAGGCCAGCCGTGAAGCGGCGTAGTCTGAGCGAGCGTGCAGAGGAATAAGGAGACTGAATTATGAGGGTTTGAGAAATTTGATTAGTCCGCATGCTAAATGGCAATATAACATAGAAAATTCCGATTGATAGAATACCTTTATCATCACTTATTATCACTGTTTTTAATGTAAGCAAATGGTTTAAAGTTGTAACAAAAAAGTTTTGAAAATTTTCGTAAAAATAGGTTTTACTTGTTCTACCATAAACTTGGTCAGCTAAACCGATTTTTATTTCAAGTTTTCATAGTAAAATTAAGAGCTTTATAAGAAAAAGACTTGAACAAAAATGTAGAATGAAGTGTTACAGACTTCCAGAAAAAACGACTTTTATGCAGTTTTTTCGGAAACGGATGTTTCGAAACCGGAAATTTAGTATCGATGGTGAAGAAGACCATGTGTTGTTCACACAGTGGAAGTACGCAAGTCGTCAACGCGAATCTACGCACTCCTTGATGATTTTCGTAAAAAACCCTTTTTAGCCTATAAAACCTGCTGGGCATTTTTTTTCACGAAAAAAATTCTTTCAGAAATTCTTCAGATTTGTGTGATCAGCTATCGTAAGTTTGAATGTAGTGAGTTGGATGGTTGCTGTGATAATGTTTAAAAAAGGTGAAATTTTGGTAGTATAGGGAGGGAAATTATAAGTCTTTGCTTCGCTCAGACTAATTAATTTCTTTTGAATTTAGACTCGATTGGTTTTTAGGGGATAGAAACTGAATCCATTTGTGCGATTCGGAAGTTTCTCTGATCGTTATTTATCGAGCTAATAGCGTTCAAAGTTGAAACTTCGATCGCATTTTATTCAATCATGGAAGCAGATTATTTTATGAAACTCATTTTAGCTATGTAACTTTTGATTATCAACCATTAAATTTACTTATTTTGTGGAATAAAACTTTACTTTTTCTGTAAAACAGATCAGTTCAATTTTGATTTAAACCGATCGCATTCTGTACCCGTAAGAGTTAGACCGCTGAAACTTATCATTTTGTCCATAAAAATTGTGGGTTCACATCATGGATTGGATTTTTTTCTCAATCCAACAACAGTTCTCTTGAAATTAAATCTAATGCTTAGTCAAAGAATGATGATTATAGTCGATGTCGTTCTCGAAATATCGAGGCTCAAAGTTTTAAAGCCAATGGCCAAAATCAAGAGACCTGTTGGTAAATTGAAAAAGGTGGCTTATCCTTGATGTGTGCCAACGATTTTTGTCTACTGATAATAAGTTTTAGCTCTCTATCACATACGGTCACAGAATAAGAAGGTTTAACTGAAAATCGAAGAATCAAAGTTTTACAGAAAAAGAAAATATAATTGCTCAGAATAAGGGAATTTTCTGGTAGATCATCAGAAGCTTATTCAGTTTAATGCGTTTTAGGAAAAAATCTACTATTTACTATATAAATTATTATTGTCCATAAGTTTCAACAAAGGGCTGAATTTTTATGCATTTACAAATCACTCAAAGTCTCAACTCTTAACTTTAACTTTGTTGCCCTAATCCTTTGCCAATCTAATTACCTTACAACTCTGCCTAGAGTAGGAATATTGAATTGGAATGAACAATGAACGATTCCAAAGTGAAAGCAATATCTTTGGCAGCTTTCATATTTTGACAAATTAATTACATTAGTTGGGATGGTTTGCCCATTATTGAGTCAATAGACTTACTTTGGTTTAGTTTGATTCATAGCACTTGCTTTCCAATCTTCAAGCGATTTGAATTTGTCACCTTCGTTGATTAAGGTTGTGGTCTTGAGAATGTAATTGTCTCGAGAGATCAAAGAATAAATGTCGGCCAAGAGAACTTCTTATTCTATGTTCATAACAAGACCACATATAATATTATAATATTGCATTACTAGAGTACGATATTGAATAAGCAAACACTTCTTCCTTGATCGCAATCATAAGTCTGATCGTAATAACTATGCGCTTCATAGACAGGACCATTAACTGATTGATTGAAGGGTGGCAATTGGTCTTAATAGCGACCATTACTTTGTTTGGCTTTAGCTCGGGTTGACGTAAAATTGTCTCTAAAAGTAAAGGCAAATATTGATTATCACAGCGATGATTCACAACGAAAAACGAAGTTCGCAAGATTTCAGGACTAATTGGTAGTGGGTGATATATTTTAGATGTTACCAAAGGATCATTGACCAAGTTATCTGCATATAAACATGAAAAATGAGTTAATTTCAATGATTTGCAGTTATTTTACACTGGTTTGTTGCTAAAAAGACACAATAAACACATTAGTTGTAACATTGATGCACAAATTGACACAAAGGGACAAAAAGAAGCCGCAAATTAATTTCTTTTGAATTTAGACTCAATTGGTTTGTAGGGACATAAAAGTTGAGTCTATTAGTGCTTTTAAACAGTTTCTCTGGCTAATGAATCTCGAGAAAATTGCGTTCGAAGTTGAAACTTCGATCGCGTTTTGTTCAATTATGGATAAAGATAATATCATGAAACTCATTTCCCTGATGTAAATTTTAATTATCTACCAGAAAATGCACTTATTTTGATAAATAACGTTTTCTTTTTCTCTAAAAGTTCGATTATTAGATTTTAAGACTTCAGAATTTCAGATTTTTTTAAACCTACTTTATTCTGTGACCGAATGTGATAGAGAGCTAAAACTTATTATCCGCTGAGAAAAATCATGGGCACACATCAAGAGTCGACCACTTTTTTCAATATATC